GAACAGATATTACCTGGTGCCAGTTGTACAGTCCTTTTCAGTGAGTCTATTGGCATTTTATTGCACTTAGCTTCAACAAAAAGGGAGAGGTTGTCATTCAGATCAAATTGGTCTGGTCTTATAATCTCATATTCCCAGCTTGATAGTGAACCTATATCCTAAAGCAGTTAAATGATACAAGAACATCATTTGTCAAACTCGGCAAAATATTGTACCTGCATTTTTTTATTACTTATTTCCAAGTGCAATATATTGTCAATAACCGTAATGTCATGACCAATGGAAAAATGGAGAGGAGTTGCATCTGATTTGTGTATATGACTAAGGCTGAGATATATGGGATTATCTGGCGCCTTCCTATAGGAGTATGAAGACTTACTATAGGGTTTTGTGGCCTTATATGAGCACATATATAACAATCTTAAAATAGAAATTAAATTGTCTAAAATGTTCCCGATTAAATTTCAATGTGTACTCGCTGTTTTGCCACACACACGCTACCATGTATACAATTCAAAACATTTTTTTAGCGCCAACATATTCCGCAGGGCTGTACAATCGTTTAAACAAGTAAGAATTATTATTGACATACAAAAACAGTAGGTGAGGATACATTTAAATACCCAGTTCTCAGATCCAGAGTACAGCATTCCCCATGCTTGAGCTTTACTTGAGCCCTGCAACATCCTTTTGAAGAGTCTCCATGTAGCACATGGACAGTGAGATGCTGAGATATGTCTACTGACAGCTAAAAAGACAATTTTAAATAATAGACATCTGCGATTCGTTTCGGAAAAATTCATTTTTTTGGATGAATTTTCATTATTCAGAGATTTGGATGTATTTGAATTTCCGAATAACAGAAATGACGAATGAAAACGACTCCAAATTTCCGAAAACAAAATTTCGGACGAAATTCGTTAGCGGTAGTCTGTACGAATTTTCATTTGTGGATGAATGTTCGTTGCGCAAAGTGAAATTTTTACAGTCTGCAGAAGAGAAAAAAAAGTGTGTGGTTCCCCCCCAATTGATACCAGACCCTTTAAGTCTGGTAGGAATGTTACTAGGGACCCCCAAGTAATTTTAGGGGGGACCCCACCCCAAAAAATGGGGGAGAAAAACGTGGGGTCACCCCAAAATTCCTACCAGACTCTTGATCCAAGCACAGGCCCGGCAGAAAAGGGGAGGACAATCGAGCGCCCCTTCCTGCGCCTTACCAGGCCACGTGCATTGGGAGGGTGTCCCCATGCCGTTAGGGACAAAGGCCTCTTCCCCACAACCCTGACACGGTGGTGGTTGTGGGGATCTGCGGGCAAGGGGACTTATTTGCATCGGGGTTTAATTAAGGGGGCACCCAGATGCCACCCC